CCGAGGCAGAGTTGTTCTGCCCCCGGCTTCCTGGAATCAGCCGCTGATCAGTTTCAGCAGCAGCTGACTTGGGGACGCCTGGGGTTCTTAAGTTGAATCTGTATGTAAGTCAGAACTGGCGTCCAGATTCAGCCTCTGTTGAAACTGATCAGTTTCAGCAGCGGCTGAATCTGGACGCCAGTTCCGAGTTACATACAGATTCAACTTAAGAACAAACCTACAGTCCCTATCTTGTACGTAACCCGGGGACTGCCTGTATTCATTTTAACCTTGTTTTGAGGTAAAGTGTTTAGTCTAGCCAGTATGTATGACTTCAGACATATAAAGACTACAGGAAAATATTCTGTAGCGGGTGATATCTCTGGGAATGAGTCTTCTCTCATTTAGCATTAGTTTTACATTGGTGTAGCTTTAGTGGAGTGGCTCCTGATTTACACTGGGGTAAGTGAGAAAACAATCAGGCCCTCAGTCTTTCAGGAGAAATACTGGGTGAAATTCTGACTTAATTGAATTCAGTAGCAAAACTCTCTGATATCAGTGGGTCCAATGATTACTTTAACAGAATCTAGAACCTGAGGATAAGTTTACACTGCCACCTTACTACACAGCAACTTTCTGGCTCAGGGGTGTGAAAAAATGTCCTCCCACCCCCAAGTGCTGCAAGTTACAGTGTTATAAAGTGCCAGTGTAACTGGGCTTTCAGTGCTGGGAACCATGTTCTCAGCACTGTTAGCTACTCCCCTCATGGAGGTGGGAGGAGGCTCTCTCCCAGCGCTCCTGCCATGGCCACTCTTTCACTTTGAAGAGCTACATGACTGCACTGTTATTTTAGAAACGTAGACATAACCTAAGACATAAATTAATTGGTTAAAGTTGGTAGAGTGCGGTGAACACTCCAGTGTGGATAAATAAAAAGTGACTTTTAAATATTTGGTATTGAAATTGCAGTCATTTATAGGGGTTAGCCTGGATGGTTGTGGTCTGATCATGTAACACTTACTGGCTCCAGTCCTGTTGAAGTCACTTACAGGATTATTCATGTGAATAGGGGCATGAGGTACACGAGCTACAGCACCCATGGGGCACTGTGGCCCTCAGATTTATTTGACAAGCCAAAATGAAACTTTGGTTAAGAAATGTCAAAATGGTTTTGTTTCAATAAGAAATACAGAAGCAAAACATTTCAGATTTTTCCATTCTATGAATTTTATTGTTTCATTTCAATTTGGGATGAAAACTAATTTCAAAATATCAGTGTTTCCCCTGGGACTCAAATTTTGTCCGTCTCCGCTCATTGAAGGGAATCTGTATTGTAGCAGTAGCATTATAAGCAAAAGCAGACTTGACTTTTTATAGAGATTTGCCTTTGACTTCAGTAGGATCAGATGGGAACCCAGATAGATTGTGCTGTTTCTTGACCAGCAGTTCTCTTCATCTATGATCATTTTTGGCTTGCTACAGTTGCAGTAAAAATACACTGATTGACACATGAATTGCTATTGTTATATGCTATTTTCCCCTAAACTGCCCAACTTCCTGTGTTTGTACACACTGGTCTGTCAAGAAGACATTAAGGGTGTGTCTACACAGTAAAGTTATTTTGGAATAAGGGCCATGTGAGCGTCTATACTGCAATTCCATTATTTCAGTATTCTGACTTCTGTAAACCGCATTCTACGAAGAATGCCTATTCTAAAATAGCTATTTTAAAATTAGGCACACTCCGCTTCTGCTATTTTGAAATAGCCCCTCACCAGGGCCATCCTAAGTTATTCCTCCTGGGGCTCTAAATCGAGATAGCACATCTACATTAGGGAAGCCTGCCTCGGACTAATTTTGAGGCTTCTCTGCAGTGTAGATGCACTATTTCTAAATAAGGTATTTCGGAATAACTATTCTGGAATAGCTTATTCCGAAGTAACTGTGCAGTGTAGACATAGCCTGTCAGGATTTTAGGTTTGCAGATTATTAAATTCTGGTAAAGGAGATTTTCTTCTTTTACCATTGATGGATGGAGTAGGAATATACATGGGAGTGAATAATTAGTATGACATTAAACAAACTAGATTTACCTGCTGCTTGTGCTTAATAAGTTATTTTATTTTTACAGGTATCTCGTGACAAATTTAATGGGTGCTGACTTGAATAACATTGTAAAGTGCCAGAAGCTAACAGATGACCATATACAGTTTCTCATCTACCAGTTACTTAGAGGACTTAAGGTACAAGCTGCAACTGCATTATTGCATTTATTTTGTACTCAGCCACCAAAATGTTGTAATAATGAGAGTTTCATTCAAAAGAAAATGTTTAAATCCATGTTCAGAGCTGAATAGACTTACAAATACTCATGACACCTCTGGTGATTTATATTTATAAACCATACTAAATTTAGAACACTCGAGATTCCTTTCAGAACTGGAAAAAAGACCCTAATCCTTCTAATACTTACACACAAGTTTGACTTTACACATGTGAGTAGCGCTAATAATTTGAATGGGATTACTTGTGTGTAAAATTAAGCACCCCTGTAAGCATTTGCAACATTGAGGCTTATGATTTGTCAAATGGTATAATGGGATTATAATATTATAGTTTTACAATAAATTAACATATAATCTGCTCAGTTTGTATGTAAAATATGTCTGGGTTTTTTTAATTGTCGGTGCTGTAACTTCTCCCTTGGATACAAAAGTTGTTTTTTTTCTTGGATATTGACCTCAGTAATAAAGATCCAGGGGGGCTAATTATGCACTCTGCTGTTGATGATGTGCTGAGAAGATTAAAAACCGTGTTGGCTTTCATATCCCAGGGCTGAAGATAAGAAAAAAAATGCATCTTTTTACTTGTAAACTGATCAAAGCTTGATAAGAAGACACTGAAAGACAATACACATGACACCTCAGGGTTCTATTTTTAGTAATTTTTCAAAGTACCATTGCTCCTCAAACTTCAGGTAACTGGTATCTGAAATAGGGAACTGCTCTTTTTAAAACAGCCCTTACTCAGATTTCACCTGATCTTATGAGCATCCTAAGAATGTTTTTTCTCTTTCTTGTTGTTGTTGTGAAAAGCAAGAATTCTCTTTAAAATGTGCACATAAATACAGTTAAACTCCAGTGGTCCGGCTTCCAATGGTCCGGCACTTCTGATGGTCTGGCACCATCTGGAACCCGGAAGTGCTCCGGGCAGCCAGACAATTGGAACTGCTCTGCCCCCGGCTTCTCCGATTCAGCCGCTGGTCAGTTTCAGCAGCGGCTGACTTGGGGAAGTCTGGGGCAGAGCAGCTGGTGTGCTGCCGGGTTGGTCCCGCAGCGCCGAGGGGCGCAGCCTCCAGCCCAGACCCCTCATAGCCCCCACTTCCGATAGTCTGGCATATTTGATAATCCGGCACCCCCTGGGTCCTAAAGGTGCCGTATTATCGGACATATACTGTATATGCTTGTAATGAACTCACCACTCTGCTTCAATATAAATGCAGTTACATGGTCATATATTGTGTTTGTGAAGAGTCTAGCTTGTGGCAACGGTATGCATCTATTGACTTGCTGGCATGCAGGCCCACTGATGCAGGTGGGGACAAAGAGGTCAATTGCCCAGGGGCCTTGCCCACTGCCAGCGCAACATAGTTAAGGTGGGCTTTCTGCCTGCTCTCATTCCACACCACTCTTGAAAGAGGCTGGCATATCCCTGTGGCCAGGGGTGTCTTCATGCACTGTTCCCATTCTGGGAACTACAGTCAATGGGAGGTGCAGGAGTGATGTCTGCAGGCGAGGGCTGAGCAAAATACGGCCCGGAGGCCAAATCTGGCCCATGGACCACCCTGGCGGGACCCTCAGGCACACAGCTGCCACAGGTTTAAAGTGCAGTCTGGCGCCTCTCTGCCCTAGAGAAAGGGGGAAGCTTTGTGTGATCTCCCAACCCCAGCACAATCCTCAGCTCCTATTGGCCAGAAACAATTAGTCAATGGGAATTGACCCCAGCCAATCTCTCAGCTCCTATTGGCTGGCTGGTCTCCCAGCTGAGAGATTGGCCTGAGGGATGGGGGCAACGCAAGCCTCTTCCCCCTCCCGGATCTGAGAGTCACATGGAGGGAATAGCATTCAGCTATAAGTGATCTGGGGCTGCAGCAGACAGGGAGCCCAGCTTGCCTTGGGAGTGCTTGCCAGGAGATGCATAGGCTCCCAGCTGGAGCCTGCCTCTGGCACCCTTGCCCCTCCCGTACCCAACTCCCTCACCCAGGTCACCATCCAAACCTTCTGCACTGTCCTGCCTCAAGTCCCAACTCCCTCCCTTCTGTACCCCCTCTTACAGCCCTCCCCAGGCCAGAATCCTATCCTGTAACCAAATACCCACCCAGACCCTGCACCCCAATCCTCTGACCGAGGTCACATCCCCTCCATCACCCAAACTCCCTCTCAGACCTCACATCATCTCTTGCACCCCAGTCCCTTACCCCATGCATCCTTCTGCACCCAACCTCTATCCTAGACCCTGCACCTCCTCCACAGAAAAGTGCGGCCCTTGACCACTTTCCAAAATCTCGGAGTGGCCCTCCACCAAAAATTATTACCCACCACTGCTGCAGGCAGTCATGCATGGAGATCCCCATATCAACCCCACCTAGAAGTTGCTGCCAGAGGGATATGCCAGTCACTTTTGGGAGTCACCCAAGGTAAGCATGCATCCCACTTACCCCTTTCTTCACCCCAACCCACTGCCCCAGTCTAGAGCCCACACCCAAACTCCCCGCAGAACCCACAACTGCTCCTGTGCCCAAATGTCAGACAAACCATGTCCACGTGTACTTGGCTTGTACAAGCATGGGGGGACCATTTACTGCCTTTGTGCCCAGGTCTGCTTGTGGTTTTCATGGTTATTTTTCTTGAAGTGTTCATATTTGAAAGAGAGAGAGAGAGAGAACACTTATGTCTTGGAGCAAGTCAGTGACACTTGTGCTATCTGCCTGTTAGCATTTGTGATTGCTGTTTAGACGGGACTGTTTCCTGACCGAAATCTGAACTCTTTATAAAACCGCCAGACATAGTGAAGAAAAACATATGAATAGAATAAGTGACTGTTACCTGTTATCCACTTTTTTCTAAGCTTGGATTCTTAGCTTTTCTTTTTTTCTTTGTTCCACAGTATATTCACTCAGCTGGAATCATCCACCGGGTGAGTTCAGTTAGCCACAGAAAATAAATTAGTGCAGTGTGCACTGCCCAATGTAAGGCTTTATGTTGTCTTTATACTAATTTAACCTTGTTAGGTATGCATGACTAACTCTGTTTGTTCTGTTACAGGACTTGAAACCCAGTAACCTAGCTGTAAATGAAGACTGTGAATTAAGGGTAGGATTCATGCTATTGTGATGAAGGTTCTTGTAATATCTCTAGAAGTAGAACTTTTCTGTACCAATATTAATGGACATTTTTACATTAGTACACATCCAACTGTAAATAAAAATCCTCTTAATGCTAAAAAACAGACTAAGAAACACTTAGTTGATACTCAGTTGTTGGTGACAAGACTTGAGGATCTGGCCCCAGATGTTGAGGTGAAGCAGTACATATAGCAACTACCTTATATCTACAGGACATACACTTATAGAAGGTTGACAACAAGTAAACTGAGCTGAAAATATACGAATGGTCCTTTGCTAATGCAAACACCAGCATTATCACCCGAGGTGTTCAAAAGTCACGAGTCGGGCCTCAAAAATTGTGATTTATTTAAAAAAATAAAATGTAGATCTTTTTGAATTGCCTTCTGGATTGTTGTTGTTGATGTTGTTAACTGTTGTTTATAATTTGTATCATAGCACCCAGAACAAGAGTGGGCAAAAGGGCCTCTGTGGGCCGGATTCAGCCCACAGAGGCTCTATTGCTCCCCCCACTCCCAGGCCAATTAGGGCCTGGGGACAGAGGAGTGCGCGAAGCCTTTTCTGCTCTGCTCCCACCTTGCAAGCAGTGCGCGGCACTTCAGAGCTCCATGTGCTCCTGGCAGGGAGGGAGGAGGCTGCATGTGCCTCCTCCCAAGGGGTGGGGGAGCACATGAAGCCTCCTCCAGCCCTGCCAGGAGTACGTGGGCAGGGTGAGGGGGAGAGCGGATTACAAAGTAATCAGGACTCTATAGTGCCTGTCTCCTGGCCACTCTTAAAGCTGCAGACACCCTGGAGAAGCCTTGTGGCAGGAAGCTGGCCTCATGAGCAGCATCTCACCGCGTGGCTCTCCCTGCCACAAGCCTTGCCACTCATGTCAGCCTCAAGACCCCCGCAACTCCCTGGCCCATGCAGGGAGCAGTCCCAGGACCCACCCAGGGGGACCAAGAGGCGAGCACCCTCCTGGTCCGGACTGGAGATCCTGTCCCTCCTCGAGCTGCGGGGCAAGGAGGAGTCCTTGTAGGATATCCAGGCCAAGTGCCACAACATGGACATCTATGACCTGATAGCCAAGTCCCTAACGGAGCGCGGACACTCACGTCCGGAATAAGGTTAAGGAGTTCCGCCGGGATATGTCCAGGCCAGAGAGCTCAGCTCACACTCAGGGGCAGGACCCCACATCTGCCCCTACTTCGATGAGCTGCACCAGATCGTGGGGGGTTTCAAAACGTCTTCCCCACCCGTCCTCATGGACTCTGGCTTGGAGACCCCTGTCATCGCCCAGTAGGAGGTCTCGGCGGAGGAGGAGCACGAGAACCAGGGCCAGCTGGAGGCGGAGGAGGACATGGACACCGTGACCCTCTCCCTGGAGCCAGTGCCTGTGAGCCAAGATGTCTCTCAGGTCTCCTCAGACACCTGGGAGGGGGATCTTCAGGTGAGTGGTCTCTTTGTCACACACACAGGGCGGGGGAGACGGGCGCACAGGGGGTGGGGAGGTGAATGCTGCTCGGGCTGGACATCGTGCTGTGGTCCGTGCACGTGCAACCACATGCAGCACATGGACGCAGCAGGCAGCCCTTGAGCACAGCTTGGATCCTACTGCCAGGCTCAGGGGAGGCCACACAAGTCCTACTGGGGATGAAGGGGCTGCTACAGCTGAAAGCAGGCTAGCCACAAGGACACAGGCATGACCCCACACAGACAGAGAAGTGCTGCAAACAGCACATGAGCATGACTGCAAGTGCGAGGCAGCAGCCACTCCCGTAGACAGTGCTGCAAGCCACAGCTGTGTTTGCAGACCCCAGGGAGGCCCAGGCTGCTCCTGGCTCTTCTGCCACCCATAAGGGGATCCTACTGTGGCCGGACACTTCCCTTGACTGCTTGTCCATGGGCCGTGGGTGGGGGTGGGAAGCAAGCAGCACGGTCCTCTGGGCACATCAGGCCCGGCTCTTGTGAGACATGGCCCGCTTTGCAGGCCACACATGGCCTTGCTCCCGGGATATCCCCCTCTTCTGCCCTGAGGACTGTTGGTCGCTGCTCACAGAGGAGGACAAGGCCTCAGGGACAGTGTCTGCAGGGATGACTGACCGCTTCTCCCTCTGTGCGTTCTCCACAGCCGGACCAACCGGGACTCGGGCGAGCCACACCACTGCAGCCAGCTGCAGCAGTGTGACAACATGTATGCCGTCATGTCGCGCATGATGGCACGCCTGCCTGATGCTCCTGCTCCTGGCTTCCACCCTCCTGTCCCCCTGCTATGCCCATTCCTCCTCCACCTGCCCCCCTGCTAGGCCTCTTCTCCCTTCCCAGGTGATGCCCATGCTCCCTCCCCAAGTGATGCCTATGTCTGCCCTCCCTGCCAACCCTGACCCTGCGCCACCCCCCCCCCTCCTGTTCACTCCCTGTGGTCCCCAGACCCCCCCAACTCTGGGGAGGGCCTCTGCAGGGATGACTGACCGCTTCTCCCTCTGTGCGTTCTCCACAGCCGGACCAACCGGGACTCGGGCGAGCCACACCACTGCAGCAAGCTGCAAGAGGCTGGGGGACCCAAAGATGCGCCAGGGTCCAAGAAGACCTCATGTGCCAGCATGTCAACTTCCTACGAGACATGCAGCAGACTCTGGCACAGAAGGTCTGCAAGGACTCTGAGTGGCGGAACCACGCATGGGACCAGCTCATGCAGCAGTGTGACAACATGTATGCCGTCATGTCGCGCATGATGGCACGCCTGCCTGATGCTGCTGCTCCTGGCTTCCACCCTCCTGTCCCCCTGCTATGCCCATTCCTCCTCCACCTGCCCCCCTGCTAGGCCTCTTCTCCCTTCCCAGGTGATGCCCATGCTCCCTCCCCAAGTGATGCCTATGTCTGCCCTCCCTGCCAACCCTGACCCTGCGCCCCCCCCCCCCCCCCGCCCCCCCCCTCCAACTCTGACGAGGTCCCCACACCAGAAGTGGCACATCTAGCTGCCCCCCCCCATGCTCCTTCCAGGCCTGAGCTCCCCTCTCCCTCTAGGTTATGAGCCTCCTCCCACTGCCTACCTTTTCTTAATGTTACATAAATACAGACTTTGTTTTGTGGAAAACCAAACAGGTGTGTTTATTGAGAAGTCAGGGAAGGGGCAAATGGCGAAGTTGTGTTGGGGAAAGGATAGAGCAGCAAGTCAGAGGCCCTTATTGGGGAGGCCCTGGGGAGACTTACTGGGGTCCTTGAGAGAACCTCTCCCTCAGGACCTCTCAGATGCGCACCCCAGCCTGATGGGCCTGGCGAATGGCAGCTGTCCTTGGCTGCTCGAACACTCACCCTTCGCTGCCAGCATCTATCCTCCACCCCAGGCGGAAGGCCTCCCCCTTCCTCTCTACAATGTTGTGGAGGACACAACATGCCACGACCTCCTCAGGGATGTTGTGCTTCCCCATGTTGAGGTGGATCAACTGGCACCGGAAGCGTGCCTTGAGGTGGCTGAAGGCACACTTGACCTGAATCCTGGCCTGGTTCAGGTTGCATTGAATTGATCCCTGTTGGATACAGGTGGCAGGTGTATGGCTTCATGAGCCACGGCATAAGGGAATAGGCTGTGTCCCCCACGATACACAATGGCATCTGCACATCTCCAACCTCAAAGCCCAGGCGGGGGAAGAATGTGCCAGCCTCCAGCTTGTGGTACAGGCTGCAGGCATCGTGTGCCCTGCCCGACCATTTGACAAAAATGTCCGTGAAGTGTCCACGGACACCCAGGGCCTGTAGCACCATAGAAAAGTAGCCCTTCCGATTAATGTATTGGGCCGCTCGATGGTCAGGTCCCATCATTCGCTCCGCCTCAGTTTGAGAACCCCAGGACAGCAAATCCAGCCACGATCGGGTCCAGGTCTCCCAGGCAGACGATCCTCCGCAGCAGGATCAAGTTGATGGCCCTCACCACCTGTGGAAGGAGACAAACAAACATACAAAACAGAGAATGAGAGAGGGAATGCCTGAGCCCTTGGGAAGTGCCCGCCCTCCTACCATCTCCCCCCCCAAACATCCCAGGAGACACCCCCATGAGGCCACTCCCCCAGCAGCAGGGCTGTATGAGGGCGGGACGGCACAACCCCCTGGCACTCGAAGCAACTGGTGACCTAAAGCCCTGCCTGAAGTGGTTCCAGGTGGCCTTTTATGCAAGAGGTCAGTCTGGATGCTTTTTGATGTGCTTTGGCAGTGTGGACGTGCTCTTTTGCAAGAAGTTTTTTCAGAAAATCTCTTCCGAAAAAAGCTTCTTCCAAAAGAAGCCTGCAGTCTAGATAAAGCTCCAGGGGGCGTATTTTTAAAAGTATTTAGGCACCTTTATTTCTCCTTATTTCAAAGGATGCTGATACCCCTGTTGATTGGGTTAATGGACAACATTTAAATTAGAATATTTCCCAACAGCACCTCTGCATTTAGGAATGCTTGTGCAGCACAGTCCTTGGTAGGACGTTGATTATCCCAAGAGAAGAAGTAGATACCAGAAAGCAAAGAGACACAAAGCTGAAATAACTTTTTTATGGACATAAGCTCTCCAAAAGGAGGGCATTCAGTGGACAACATTATGCCATCAAATGTGCATGGTATTTTTAAGAAAAATTCTCTTTTCATTTCAGTGGGGTGTTAGATGGAGCTTACAGGTGCCTTTCTTAGTGCCATCAAAATGTGCATGATTGAGTAGTTGCTATATGTGCTACAAGGCCTATGCACAAACAGGTTAGCTAAGGGAACATTAGGGAATCAGTGAGTAATACAGAGGGTGCTTTTAACATGCTATGGACTGATGTTTTGGGGCATTGGCATTTTATACTTATACACTTTAGATGTGATTTTCCCTGTTGATATTCTTCAGCTCTGATATACTAGCTGTGATTATTGCTATAGCAATGCTAGTAATGAAAGTAATCTTACAGGAAAATTAAACTTAAAGTCAAATTCAGAGTTTGTGTAAAAGGGTCCAATTCCACTTGTGCTCCAGTTCTACCAGCATAGTACCATGGGGAGATCCTGGCACCAGCACATAGCCCCGATGACTTTAATGGGTACTGCATAAGTTGAGCCATTGACATTAAGACCAGGTTCTTAATAATTAAAGTACAGGCAGTCCCCGGGTTATGTACAAGATAGGGACTGTAGGTTTGTTCTTAAGTTGAATTTGTATGTAAGTTGGAACTGGTACATATTGTAGGGGAAACTCTAGCCAAACATTTCTCCAGAGCTCAGTTTTATTCTCCCACACCTCACTTCCCTCAGTCCTTTATTCTCAAGCTGAGGTGTCTGCTGAGAAAAGCCACTCTGTGTCTCCCTCATCTGCTGGGGAGAAGGGCGCTAGCTTCGCGTCTCCCTGGTCTGCTGGGGGGAAGCAGCTAGTGCGGGGTTGCCTCACCTCGTTTGTAAGTAGGGATCCGATGTAAGTCGGATCCATGTAACCCGGGGACCGCCTGTAGTACATCTTTCTTGGTGTTACCAAAAAGCATGAGATGGGGAGAAATCTTAAACTGGGTATGAAATGTTGAGGGTCCAGTTCATTTCAAGATGAGGTGTTCTGACTGCTGAAGTAAGCCAAAAGTAAAGAACAGGGAACAAATCAGCTTCTGTAATAAAAAATAATGAGAAATCCTGTTTTTTTTTCTTCTGTAGATTTTAGACTTTGGCTTAGCTCGACAAACTGATGATGAAATGACTGGATATGTAGCAACAAGATGGTACAGAGCTCCGGAAATTATGTTAAACTGGATGCATTATAATCAAACAGGTAAAGGAAGGTACTTATTTTTAAACTACAAACAGTATAGTCACAACAGGGAAAAAAACAACTGCATTTAACCATTTTTATGTTTATCTTGCATATCCTTCCCTCCTTATTTTTGACAGTTGACATTTGGTCAGTGGGATGCATCATGGCAGAGTTACTGAAAGGCAAGGCTCTTTTTCCAGGAAACGACTGTATCCTTAACATAAAATGCAGTTACATGATGTGCAAATGCACTGCAGTTCTTTCTGTTCTCTAACCACCAACATGTTCTCCAGGCTCCATTTGCCAGGTAACAAACCTTCGATACAGCAAACAGAGTTGCTAATTGTTCAGCTTGCAGCTGACCATAACAGCCGTCAAAAGAAAAAGCAATAACATGTTCTTAAACCACAAGAAGCTACATGCAATCTTTATTTTATGCCTGATATTTAAATAATGACCTACTTGCAGGATTGATTTCTTCCATTTGTGCTGCTTCTTAAAAAACAATTAGAATTAATATGCATTAAGTATGTTAAGGAGCAGGTATTTTGCTAATGGTGTAACCAATACAATTTGAATCAACTACATGATTAGTAGAAAAGGAGAGGGGCTCTGCAGAGCTGCCGTGCAAGTGGCTCCTGGAGCTGGCGTGATCCTGGACTGAACTTGCACTAGCTCTGGGACCGCTGCGGCTCTGCCTTTTAAATGTAGTAAGAGCTGCTGGGCTCTTACTACACTTAAAAGGCAGAGCTGCAGCAAGGGTAGGTTCAGGACCCAGCGTGAGCTGGGACTGAGCAGTGCACGTGCAACCACATGCAGCACATGGACGCAGCAGGCAGCCCTTGAGCACAGCTTGGATCCTACTGCCAGGCTCAGGGGAGGCCACACAAGTCCTACTGGGGATGAAGGGGCTGCTACAGCTGAAAGCAGGCTAGCCACAAGGACACAGGCATGACCCCACACAGACAGAGAAGTGCTGCAAACAGCACATGAGCATGACTGCAAGTGCGAGGCAGCAGCCACTCCCGTAGACAGTGCTGCAAGCCACAGCTGTGTTTGCAGACCCCAGGGAGGCCCAGGCTGCTCCTGGCTCTTCTGCCACCCATAAGGGGATCCTACTGTGGCCGGACACTTCCCTTGACTGCTTGTCCATGGGCCGTGGGTGGGGGTGGGAAGCAAGCAGCACGGTCCTCTGGGCACATCAGGCCCGGCTCTTGTGAGACATGGCCCGCTTTGCAGGCCACACATGGCCTTGCTCCCGGGATATCCCCCTCTTCTGCCCTGAGGACTGTTGGTCGCTGCTCACAGAGGAGGACAAGGCCTCAGGGACAGTGTCTGCAGGGATGACTGACCGCTTCTCCCTCTGTGCGTTCTCCACAGCCGGACCAACCGGGACTCGGGCGAGCCACACCACTGCAGCCAGCTG